CATAATGAAATGCTTATTGTCTTGTTTGATTCTAGTGCCACACACTCTTTTGTTGCTGATTATATAGCTAAAGCATTTAATCTAATTGTGACAAAAATGAGAACTCTTATGCGTATTGTTACGGTTGTGGGAAGTGTCTTTGATGAAAAATATATTTGTAAAGATGTGAAATTCAAGTATGAGGGCAGAGAGTATTCTGCTGATTTTATTATCTTACATCTTGCCTCTGTAAATTTGATTTTGGGGATGGATTGGTTATCCAAATACTGTGTGAAGATTGATTACTGCAGCAAGACCATTTTTGTCTCATCTAATGATGAAGAGGGAGAGTCTCCTTTTCTGTCTGTCCTTCGGGTTGCAAAAGCCTTGAAGGAAGGAGATTCTGGGTTTATTTTGTTGGGAGGTCTGGTTGGTGCCAATAAGGAGCCAATTTCTGAGATCCCCATCGTCTCTGATTTTGAGGATGTTTTTTCGGATGAAATTCCGCACTTTCCGCCAGAGAGGGAAATTGAATTCTCAATCGACTTGTTGCCTGGTGTGGGGCATATCTCTTTAGTCCCATACCGAATGTCGCCTTGAAATTATCTGAGCTAAAGAAGCAGATTGAAGACTTGTCCAGTAAGAATTTTATTAAATCGAGTGTGTCTTCGTGGGAAGCCCCAGTGATATTTGTTTTTAAGAAGGATGGGTCTATGAGATTATGTACAGATTACCGGCAGTTAAATAAGGTTACTGTTAAGAATAAGTATCCTTTGCCACATATAGATGATTTATTATATCAGTTGCATGGTGCGACTGTATCTTCTAAGATTGATCTCCGGTCCGGGTACCATCAAATCCGGATAAAGCCGGATGATGTTCCGAAGACAGCTTTCAGGTCTCGATATGGACACTATGAGTACCTGGTTATTCCTTTTGGGCTTACAAATGCACCAGCCATTTTCATGAGTTATATGAATTGGATCTTTAAAGCCTATCTGGATCAGTTTGTGGTTATCTTTATTGATGACATACTGATATATTCAAAGAGCAAAGAAGAGCATTCTGAGCATTTGAGGATTGTGCTGCAAATTATGAGAGATCATCAGTTGTATGCTAAGTCGTCCAAGTGTGACTTCTGACTTTCTGAGATACAATTTTTGGGCCATGTCATCTCATCTGAAGGAGTGGCAAAGGACTCGAGTAAGATTGAAGCAGTGCTAGAATGTGAGCATCCTAAAAATATTACCGAGATTAGGAGTTTTCTTGGTTTGACTGGGTATTATAGGCATTTTATTGAGGGATTCTCACGGATGATACTACCCATGACACGATTAACCTGTAAAGGGAACCCATTTGTGTGGACCCAAGAATGTGAAGTGAGTTTTCAGGAGTTAAAAAGGAAGTTGACTACCTCTCTGGTGTTGATATTGCTTGATCCTACAAGTAAATGTGTAGTATACTGCGATGCTTCTAAGTTTGGATTAGGCTGTGTATTAATGCAGCTACATCAGGTAGTTGATTATGCTTCTCGGCAGTTAAAGCCGCATGAGGAGAACTATCCAACACATGATTTGGAGTTGGCAGCCGTAGTGGTCGCTTTGAAAATCTGGCGACACTTTCTATACGGTGCCAATTTTGTTTTCTATAGCGACCACTAAAGTTTAAAGTATCTGGTTGACCAGAAATAGTTGAATATGAGGCAACGCCGATGAGTGGAACTTCTGAAGGATTATAATTTTGAATTGCAATATCACCCAAGAAAAGCCAATGTAGTGGTTGATGCTTTAAGCAGAAAGGCGCTTTGTGTAGCTAATATGATGATCGTCGAGTATTAATTGAGAAGTTTCGGGATCTCAACATTCCTGTGAATGCAGAGGATAGCCCGTATTTGTTGACTACTACGGTAGTCCAAAACTCGTTGGTTGAGCGGCTTAAAGAAGCTCAATTACTTGATAAAGAGATTCAGTCTATGAAAGAACAAGACTTTGTATCCACTGATAAACTCGGTCTTAAGTTTTATAAAGATCATATCATTGTTCCGAAAGGTCAGATGGTGGATGAGATGTTGGTTGAGGCACATATGGGTAAGTATATTATCCATCATGGTGCTACCAAGATGTACCAAGACTTGAAACTAAATTTCTGGTGGTCGGGAATAAAGAAAGATATTGCTCAGTTTGTGAATAAGTGTTTGACATGTCAAAAAGTAAAGATTGAACATCAGAGGCCCTCTGCATTACTGCAGCCCATAGATATTCTGGAATGGAAATGGGTCAGTATTTCTATGGATTTCGTAGTGGCATTACCGAGAACTCATACTGGTTTTGATTCTATATGGGTGGTAGTAGACAGATTGACAAAGTCTGCACATTTTATTCCAGTCAAGACGAGTTTCTCTACGGAGTAGTTGACTCGATTATATGTGAAGGAGATTGTGAAACTTCATGGTGTTCCTGAAAGAATCATTAGTGATCGGGACCCTAAGTTCACTTCTCGACTTTAGGAAGCATTGCAACAGGCATTCGGTACGCAGCTGAGACTGAGTACGACTTATCATCCCCAAACTGATGGTCAGACAAAAAGGACCATTCAAACTCTGGAGGACATGTTGAAGGCTTGTGCCTTAGTGCAAGGGACTGCTTGGGATAAGTATCTGTCTCTGGTGGAATTTTTCTACAATAACAATTAGCATGCCAGTTTGGGCATGGCTCCCTATGAGGCTTTGTATGGCCGTAGGTGCAGAGCGCCTACATGTTGGTTAGAAATTGGGGAGAGACAGTTATTTGTGCCTGATATGGTCCAAGAGACTATTGATCAGATTGCTATGATTAAGGATCGATTAAAGAGAGCACAGAGCCGCCAAAAGAGTTATTATGATGCAAAATATCGACCCCTTGAATTTTCTGAAGGGGATCATGTGTTTATCCGTTTGTCTCTGACTACAGGTGTTGGGCGTGCTCTTGGAGTGAGGAAGTTGAGTCCTAGGTTCATAGGGCCCTACCAGATCATAAAGAGGGATCTGTGGCATACCAGCTGGCCTTACCTCCACATTTGTCTAATCTGCAAAGTGTTTTTAACATCAGTCAACTTCGCAAATATGTACCTGATGTGTCCCACATAGTTCAGCAGAACGATGTTGAGGTAAAGAAAGATTTGGAATTTGTTATGGGACAACTGAAGGTTCTGGCTCGCGATGAGAAAGTATTGAGGAACAGGTGATACCCATGATCAAGGTACAATGGGAAGGTTTGACTTCTGAGGACGCCACTTGGGAGCAAGAGAATGAAATTTTCCAGCGTTATCCTGAGTTTGACGTCAGGTATGTGTTATGTTATATGTGTGATTTTGAGGGCAAAACCCTTAAAATGTGGGGTGAATATAATATCCCTAACCAGTTTAATTAGAAAATGGTATATGATTAAATATTTGATCATGCATAAATGGGTTAAATTAAGTAAAAGACCTAATTAAATAAATTAAGTTTACTTTTGAGGTAAAAAGTACAGCCAATGAGATTTTTGTGATAAAAATATGTGTAGAAAAAATTATCTAGAATGTAAAAGTAAGGTTATAAATATGACTCGAAAAATATTCTAGTTCATTGGGTAAAGTTTGGTATTGAATGAAGGTGTGTAGATAGATAAACGGTTACCCAGTTAAAATAACTTAGCCTATTAAACAACTTAGAAACCGTGACACTCTACTTCTTCTTCCTTTTTTTCCCGTGTGTGCCTCTGCTTGCTTTCTTCCACGGAAATAGCTTAGGTTTTCCTTTTCTTTTTTCTTTGATTTCTCATCACACAATCATCCAAATGCAAAAGTTCATTACACGAAATTGATAGGAAATCATCCAATGAATCCGTTCCACCCCTTATTTTAGGCTGAAAATGCTTGTGTAAAAAGTTCTCTTCTCCTCCCATTTTGAGTTACTATTCATCCAAGAGAGAAATTGTGGTTTTAGTTTGAGCCAAGCTTGGGCTTTGTTTCTTGGACCTTGGATAAGCGATTTGAGGTAAGAAATTCTCATTCTAATGGTTTGATTTTCATGGGTTAAGTTTTGAATATTATGAGTATATTTTGTGTAGAATTTATGAAGTAAAAACTTGAAATTTTTGAAGTATTAATGTGTTTTATGATGATATAGTGTCAAGTAAGCATGATGGTGAGTTGGAAAATTAAAAAAAACTCCTTGGACCACCACACTAGGTTCGGCCATATTGGGCATTTAAGGATTAATGTGCCAAAATAATTAAATTAAATAATTGTGGAGGTTTATATGTATGTGTATGTTGAGATTTAGGTATTAAAGTGAGAATACCAAGTGAAAAATCTATTGGAAACCCTCCTTGTGAATTTCGGCCATTAGGGTCTAATAAGGGATGATTATGTTAAAAATTATTTTGATGATGTGGTTAGGTCTTAATGCATGGCTTTAGTATGATTTTGAAGTTATATGGTTTAAGACATAATGAGAAGCTCCTTAGCTCCTTTGTATGTGTTGCAATAGCCTTATGAACAAAAATAGGCAAAGTTAGGTTTAAAATTGTTATGAAAATATATGAATAATTAAGGACTAAGTGTGAATTCTAGGAACTATTGGTTGTGTCAATTATTTGATGCAAATCCATAGCTTTTCCTTGTTGTGGTTTCGACCATGTAGGCTTTGAGGGGATAGGAAATGTTAAAATTATACAGAGGTATTTTAGAAGCTTGGTTGGGTTATTTTAGGACCCTATGTGAGTATGAAACCATGAGGGTGCTTGTGGTTCATATAATCATCCTTAAAACGGTCTAATAAAGGAATTTATGAAAGTATGGTCTTGACTTGTAAATTGGCATACATGAAAAGAAATGAAAGTAAACAATAAAATGTATGTCTTGTAATTACATGGCATCGTAGTATTTTATTGAGTTTCGTTTTGGATTCTTTCTCTAGGTGTGCCTAGAGACTGAGCGTCTTAAGCAGTTTGAAAATCCCCTTTCACATCTTAAATCAAAATCATACATGTAACAATTCAAGAGTTCTTGGTAACCTAGTTAGATCTTAGGATTTGACCTACTCAAAGGGTAGTAGATTTGATTTCTGAGAGTCACAATTTCTGAAAAAGGTGAAGAGACTCAAACCCAAAATCAAATTAGTCGGATCCATTAGTACTTCATACACCAATCCCATTAGTATCTAAAAAAAAAAATATCATACATGCAACAGTCATAGTATATACTCATCTCAATTTCGTTCGATGTAGTATACATGAGTAATTCTACATGAAGTCTGTTATGGTTGGAGCAATTTATTTTGCTCAGCTTCAGTTATTGTGAATTGGTTGTAATTGACATGATCCAAAAACTAACGCAAGTTTTTCCCAAAAATTTTACTCAACGGAAATCCTAGCAATTCCAGCTGAAACCATTCAAGTCAAACTGTTGGCAGTGGGAAGAAGCATCATTATCATCATGAGCATTCAGGTCCAGTTTCACTTCAAAGTTAGCCATTCTATAATCTTGAGAAATTTTCTCATGGTTTAGTTTAACTGGCACTCTCCTATTTTCATTACTTTCTCTTCTTTTACACCCTTCTTCCTTTGAAAAAATTGTTCTCCCAAAACTTTCTTCTTCTTGAACTCCTACATTCATGGATAAGAGGCTTGATGTCCTCTCTGGTAAAAAATTTCCTTTTGCTACTTTATCATTTGATGAGGAGCAAAACATCATATTCTCCTTCACTTTTTCACACAAGGTGAGATCAGACTTTAAAAGCATAGACTCTTCCACACACTCTTTTGAAACTAAAAATGGAGTACCATTATAGGCTTTCAAATTCAGGCCCTTGTTATGTTTTTCTTGGCCTCTTTGAGATTCCTCACTGTAGGCTAAGAAACTGCCCATTGAACAATTAGAGGCTTCAACTGCTTGTGTTTGCTGAGGATACAATACTTGCAATTCTTTCAGTTCTGAAAATTTAGAATCAAGGCATTGAGTGGACACTCTGGAAGCCAGTTCAGAAAGTTGAACCTTGGCATCTTCAAGCCCCACATTACCTAAATTTTGTCTTCCTAGTGTTTCTTGAGCTTTTTCCAACACTGCCTGAAGGTACTTCCCTTGAGCCTCTATCCTTAGCTGTAAGTGTCGCTGTACCTGCTTAAAGATTGAAAACAGTATCAGAACAGAAGCAACTTTAACAACTTACAAACTTCATTGCACAGTAACAGCTAAAGGGCAAATCCCGATGTCCTAGGTTCCCTGACTTGCAAGGGTAAGGGTGAGAATTGTTTGTGTGGAGCCTTACTCTTGTATTTGTGCAAAGAGGCTCTTTTGCATACGATGTATTGAATTGTGTATTGTATCACAATTTACAATTCAAAAATATTTGTTATAGATATATAAAAACCATTAATGCAGCCTCACCTACAAGCTTAAGCTTTTGAGATGAATTGACTCTTTACATGGTATTAGAGCCTCAGTATTACGAATTCGATCCTCATCACCCCCATTTTCTATTATGGAATTTCTTAGCATAGGTTGCTGGACCTGTGCATTGTCCACCCTTTAAGCCCATTGGACTATCGTACAAGGGGACGTGTTAGAGATATATAAAAACCATTAATGTAATCTCATCCACCAGATTACGTTTTTGGGTTGAATTGGTTCTTTACGATATTCAAACCAAAATTTGCAATTTTCAATTAAAAAAAAAAACTAAGTAGTCACTATTAATTAGAGAAATTTGTAATTACTAATTATGGAAACAATCAAACAAATATTCCAATTAATACAAATCTCTTTGATCTTAAAAAAAAACCGATACAAATATAAAAAGTAAAGACTTAAAGCACAAGAAAACAGAATAAATTAGAGAAGTTTTCAAAGAGTGACAGTACAAAGAGAGAGAAATTGAAGGCTTAAAACACAATTTATATAATTATTTATATTTTAAAATTATCTTTTATTATGTTTGTGAATCATTGTTGTTGGTGTGTTTACAAATGTATTGGTATTCATTTAAGTTAAAGTTCAAAGATTCCTATACCTCCAGCTGCTCATGTAGTCTTCTTTGCACTTCAATTTGCATCTGTAACGCCTCATTTATTTCTGAATTTCTGGATTGAGGGCTGATCCTTGTTAGTGTTGGCTTCAAATAAGAAAAATAAAAGCTTTGCACAATGGAAACTTTATGACAAGATATGTGTTCTTACTTGTTTGTCTGGAGTCCTATGCTTAATTGTTTCATTTGAATTCCACTCGCTTCTGACATTCTGACTTCTGTTTCTGTGGTTGATGCTGGTAAAATAAATTCACAAATTATATGCTTGGTAAAAGATAGGTTCTGCTCTGTGTAGTTCATAATATGCTTATGAAATGTATGGAAAGCATATTAAAAAAGATGTTCCCTCACCGTTTTTATTGCTACCAGTACTGGTTTGTCCATGCATATTTTTACTGATTCTGTACTTCTGCTATCGAGAAAGAGCAATTAATAACTAAACATATAAATTATGAACAGACAAGACCATAAATTTCAAATAGGCAGATTTTTAGGCAGAGTTTCAAAAATTAGATTTTGTTTTATGTATTGAGAGGAACATAAGAAAGCCAAACCAACTGTTTACTAGTAACTAATACTATCATCTTGTGTTTGAATGTTCTCCATTACTAATTGAATTTCAGTCACTACCCAACATTACCCTGAATTCTAAAGAGTTCAAGGAACTTTAAGGGGTAGAAATGGTAAAAGGGTAGTGACATGTTACCTGTAGATGACTCTTTAAGTGGTATAGAGTAAGTCCAGGAATCCCCATAAGTTTCAATACCGTTTTTGGTGTAGCTTCTGCATAGCAAGAATAATCAAAATTAGCTTGAAAAAATTATCGTTTTCTAATTCATAATCTGTTTATTGTTGCATAGACTCACTATCTGCTCCACCAAGTTGATTAACTGCTTCTATGAACCGTTCATGAAGATCTGGCGTCCATTTCAGTCTAGGCTTAGCATCAGTTGAGAGAACAAGTCCTGAATCACCAGTCCCATTTCCTCCTTGCATGATCATATGCCTCTCAATAGGGGTGTGCATCCTTGAAGCATGCATGTTCTTAGCTTGTTGCTGATGATAGTACATTTTCTTTTATGGAAACAAAATGATCTCATTCAATACTCTATGTAAAAGCACAAGAAATTATTATGCTCATGATTATCTGTTTACCTGTTGAGTAATCTGAAAAGTGAAATTTGATTGTCTTGTATTCTTCAAGAGCACTTCCTTATCGTTTAAACTCAAATATGTTCAAGTTTCTAAAACTGCTTTTGCATGTGTTTTTTCTCCTTGACAAGATCTTCACAAGCCTTAGTTGTGCTCCTAGATGTCTTTATAAAGCAAATGCATATAGGAGAGGGACCTTTTAAGGCATAGAATCTTGGACAGAAGAAATTCAAAACTGAACTTGATCCAATATGTTCAGAGCTACTTAAAAGGTTATGCCATTCTTCCTACTTTCTTCATTGTGGGGTCTCATCACTTCCACTTTTGATTCAGAGAAAAGCACTTGTCAAGTAGAATTATGTGCATTATCCTTTCAGAGAGACCTCACACGTTGCATTTGGAATCAAAATTGACACATCAAATTATCAGTTTGCTCCTGCATATGTTTTTGTCCCACTGGTAAATGGAGGAATCTAATTCCAAAAGTTTAGAGAAGAATTCTGTGACTTGAATTATAGAATCAACTTTTCCTTTTTTACTTTTCCTTGAAAGCATCAGAAACCACACTTCACCCATGTTTTTTCAAGAAAGATTCTTGGCTTGGAACTTCCTTAGTCCTTGTCACTCACATAGGTAATTGAGACAATTTCAACTAGATATTTCACTAAAGAATATCGTCAATATGCCAATGGGGATTGGCTGAATGTAATCTACATTGAATGGTGTTAAAAATGCAATAATTGGTTATACTCTGGCAATGTAGAAAACAAGAATCTTCAAATTACACAACCTAAAAATAGAAACCATCATCACTTTTATCCCAACCTACTTGAATGGCAATTCATAAACTCATAAAAGCAAGAACATTATAAAGAAAAATTAATAATAAATAAGAAAAAAAATAGTATATTTATATGTAGTAAAAGACTAAAAGTAATAATAAACTGTTGCAGATACATTGAAGAAAAAGAATAATAATGGAAAAATGCTTTTCTTTAAGTCCTTTGAATTTTCGTGAAGAAAGGAATAGAATAAGAACACATTCTTTTTTGTCTTGTTTGGTAAGTTTGGTGCTTATTGAGCCAATAAGGAATAACAATCTATATGCCAAAAGGAAAATAATGTGTACTTTTGTTCCATTATACTTGCATTTGATAAAAGACATTCATAGCTGGTGTAGTGGAACACTTGTCCTGCGAGTGTTTTGGGTTGCATATTCTCTTATGAATCTATGCACACACCTATGTGTTTGATTTGGTCTTGTATGTGTATTTCGATAAGTTTCTACGGAGGTTGAATGATGTTTTATGTTGGGGGTTTGTTTTGTTTTGAATTATTGTTGATTGTGGATGTAAGATTACCATGAAATGGATTAAAAATCTACATATGAGTTAGTCTAGGAAACCACATGCATTTTGGCCTACGTGTCTCTAATCATGAAGACCATGTGTTTGACGTTTTGCCTAAGTGAAATGATGAAATAGAAATAAATTTGTGATGAATTAAGTGATGAAAATGATGGCAAGTTGTAAGAATTCTAATAAATTCTTGATTGAGGAAATTCAGCCCTAGGGTAAGGAATGTATATGCAAGTGTTTTTATAAGGATATGAAGATGTCATAATAAGTTATAAATGAGTTGGAATTGATTAAGTCATGAATTAGTTAATGAAAAGTTGAATTAATTCATGTAATTCCTCACTAAGTGATGCCTCAGCCATATTGTGGTTTTATGGGTTTGAGGTTGTTTAATTGGTTTGTCATTAAGATTAAGGTATGTTAAGTCTTATGGTGATGAGAGAATCAATTATAAATCAATGGAAAAAGTGTCAAACTTATGGACCTATATATATATATATATGGGTTTTATAATTCTCATTTAACATGAGAATTCAAATTTTTCTACACACCCTTCGATTTCCGTGCTAACATGGGTCCTACATATAATTTTTTCTAACACCTGGGTCCCACATGCTTTTTATCTCTACAACATGAGAATTGAATTCTCATTTAACATGAAAAAATCAAACCCCGATATATATATATATATATATATATATATATATATACATATATATATATATGTAACACCCTCCCTTGTATGCATCCAAGAGAGTGTTTGCTAAGTGGAATTAGAGTTCTTTCGTCATATTGCGAATACTGAAAAAATCACTTTGATGTTGCTAATTAAAACTTATAATTGAAATCGGTTCACTTACAAAAAAATCAGAGTAATCTTTCAAAATTTCTTAACTTGCTGAAAATATTATTTTCCTCGCAGACGTCGCTGTCTTGTAAAATTCGTATAAAATCAAGTTCAAAGATTTCAAAAAAATATTCCATATAATATAGAAAGAGAACGTCTGGGGCTTCGCGTGCATATAAAATAATAGTAATTCGGAGGTCATTTGCCCCTCGTAACGTAACTCGCAAAGTACTCACAAAACTGTTTAAAAATCAGCACTCAATGAACGTTCAGAAACTTAGTTCGCAAAACATTTTCAGAATTTTTTCCAAAGTACTAGAAAATCATCAAAGTCTTAAAACAACAATAAAATCATAGTTCCAACAGTAATCCAACTCCTCAAATTAATACAGTCATCCATCAAATGAAACAGAAACAGCAGCAAGTCCAAACAGTAGAATTTAACAGCAAACATCCAAATAATCCATGTCCTCATATGCTTTTGCATTCTCCTGCCATTTTCTAAAAATAGCAGCCCCAAAGGGGTGAGAAAAATCCCAATAGTGTGATAACAAAATCAATGATGCAACAGTAATAACTAGATACAGAATTACAAAGCAGACGCATCATCAAGTTAAATCCGACAGAATACTAAATATTATCATATTGCGTATATAACGCCAAAAATACTAATCAAGATGCGTATATAACGCCAAAGTGTACGTTTACAGCACCGTCGTGCCCGTACTAACAAGTACAGTGGAGGTCCCTTAATGGCTCCTCAAGAGGGTTTCAACTGTAACCTAAGCGGATTGAAGCCAAATGTCCCATACCCTGGTACCGCAGGGATGCCTACATGATGCTTGCTCAAACGTATGCATAATTTTCCAAAACATTTTCAGTTATAAACATGAAACTTATGCATGTATGATATGTCATGGATCACACACAACATACAGTTAAAAATCATGAATGAGCATGCATGACTAGATAGTAATCAAGATACATATATCTCATGGAGTCTAATATCATGGTGCTGAATCATAATCAATTCTCAAAACAAATATCCAGCATTTTAAACCATGAGCAGAATCATATATAGAAATTCCAAACCGAAGCACCAGAGAGCAACGTTCACAACTCATGCTCTAGCTGGTAGTCAACATAAATACTTATACGCAGTAACGTTTTCACTCCTTTCTCCCCCTAAACCCAATCGGTTTTCCAAGGTTCTTTTACCAACAATATTCTGACTTTAATAATAATTTTCTAATGTTCAACAATGACTTTAATCAAACCCAAAACAAAATCAGTTTTTAGCACATAAAAGGTCCTCAAGAAAGTATTATGCAATTTCTTCTTTTCTACTCAAAGGTGCGCATAGAGAGCCTATTACCATGGTGTCTATATACTTTAAATGGGACTTAGTACACATCTAGGCTCAAAACAGAATTGGTTTTAAGTATATAAAGGCTCAAGACATTTGTTCGAAATTTTTGTTTGACAAGACCAAGGGTGTGTGAATGGAATCCTAACATCATGCTGAATATTTTAGCTAAAAAAATGACTTAATGCACAACAAAATTTACCAAGTCAGAATCGATTTTATCAAGACCAAACATCATGAATAGCTTATTTCAAAACTCCACTAATCCATGTATGGTGCGCTACAAAGGACCTAGGCATGCTGTCCATATCATGATGTATCATAAAAATTTAGAGGTATCCAAGTTGTCATCAAACAGCCCCACCATTTACTTTTAAGATCATTACCAAGTTTATTTTTCATTATTCTTTCACTGCGGTCAAAGAACATAATATGGCAGAATCTAAAAATACACAATAACTAAGAGAGCTGCTTCCTAGACATGCCTCACGATTTGATCATAGGAGAGAAGAGAAGATTCGGTGCCTACCTCTTACAAGCTCACTAGGAGATCGAACAAAACAGGGAGCAACACCTCAATCCCTTAGCCCCACTAAAACAACAAGCTCCACTCCTCAAGCTGATGACCGTGCGCAACGCAAAGAAAATGAGGAGAGGAAAGATTAGCTAGAGTTATTATTTTCATATAATGGAATGTCTCCTTCAACCAAATGAGTGAACAACGAGACAGAGGCAGTACCTTACCTCTTAAAATAATAGAACACAGCCGAATAAAGACAGAGAGGAAAAATGTTTAAGGCTTTGGTACTTCCTCAGGAGCTCCACGGTTTTTGGAAGGAAAAAGGAATTGGATGATGGCTGAGTTTTACTTCAAGGAAAGCAGCAAGAGTTCAAGTTGTTCTTTTCTTCCTATAGTGCGCTCAAGGGGTGGTGATAAGGTAGGGATGTGGCTGGGTTTGGTTCTGTTTGACAAGATGATTCCTCCTATAAAATCCTCTTCAATCAGCGCTAAGATGAAGGAAAGTGGGGCTGAAGGTTGGTTTTTAAAATGCTCACAAGGTCAAAAAACATGCTCAAGCTTTTCTCCCTTTGGAGCGCTCAAGGGGAAGGAGTAATTGGGTGCAGAATTTTCTGCCCAAGTATTTTACATGCAATCTGACTACTGGATCCTTATTGGCTGCATGTCTTTAAAGCTGGCTGGGTTTGGAAGGTGCCACAAGCTATCCTCTTTCTTTTGACACTCCCAAGCGCATGTGATCAGTAGTATTTTACAGAAAAAAATAAAATTAACTGACATGTAATATTTTTATTGGTGGGATGCACTGAATCTTTGGTATAACAGTAGTACCAAAGATTTATTCATGTGATCAGGGAGAAGAGAAGCAAGGCTGAGTTACTTTGTGATATATGTAGCAAGGATCAGAATTTTGGTGAAGCCCTATGCGCACAAGTGGAGGAGGAATAAGGATGGGTCTTGCCATGTGGGGATTACTAACCAATGAGGGCTGACTTGTGGGATCACTTAGGATGGAATTAGGGTAATTTGCAAGG